TTTTTTTTTTTTTTTTTTTTTTACTGCCGTGACTTCCCTTAGGCTGGCTTCAACTTCTATGCTTGCATTTATTGCATGCTCCGCCTTGCATTTCCTTCAGTGTTGTGTGATAGGCTGGAAGCACACACAGCCCCTGTCCTTATTCTTCTCATATGTAACTGCTTTCTTAACAAATGGGATACCTACTGGATCCTCCCCAGACTGGCTGTCTCACCATAATCAAATTAGGGCTGAATCTTCCTCCATATTGCTGCAAGCACTAGCCATGCCTTTCCAGCTGAGTCATGCCCCTAAGTGGATGTTCAATTCCGTATTTAGTTTCAATTGATTCCTACCCTTGACAGTAACTTCCACTGATACACCACCTAATAGGTCGACTACAGCATCAAATTATGCACCAAATGTCACTCTCCATTCCAAGAACTTCCTGCTCAGAGCTCCTCTAGACAGGATTCTGTCTCTAGAGATGTCTAAGGTATCCTACCCAGATTGGCCTTATTGCCTTCCTTTGCATTTCTTTCAGAATCCTTCTCCAGGATAACTGCATTCAACTCATACACTTCCTGCTGGGTCTTCCCTTACCACAATTGCTTTCTGTACTAGTGTCTCTCCTTATTTCTCCCTCGGTCTAGATGCAAATTCAATCCATGATCTACAACATACACGTCCTACAAAGTCTGCTCGGATACATGATTTCTCTACCCACATATCTCCTATTTCTTTCAGCTGGCTTGACTGCACTCTTCAACTTGTCATTTACTTATTCTCTCAGACTGGCATACTCACTTCATTACGCCCTGTCAAGTCTACCCCTAACCTGGATACTCATTCTCTTTACACATCTCCTGCTAAGTCCTAGTCCAGAACTGAATATTTGTTCCATGTACTTCCTGATGTGCTGACTCCTACGCTGGCTCCATCCTGCACTATTCAACACTTTCTCTGTATCCTCATTATGCACCCCTGCAATGTCCTCCTCTCAGCTGTATGTTCGGTCCACTCATACCTCTCTTGCAAGTTTCTACCTTAGGGTATGTGCACTGTCATCCATTAATATA